CAGGCCGGAGGACATGACCTGAAACGCCCACAAACCATGGGACCAGGCATGAGCAAACAGTGCGAACCTCCTCCCCACCGCCCTGTTAACAGGGCGACCTGCAAAGGGGCTGATGCCCCTAATGAGAAGCCGGTGACAAGAAGAGCAAGCATTGCACTGACTAGATGACGCTGGCTTCGAAGGAAACACCGGCTCAGAAACTGAATTCCAGAGAACAACATAGAACACATAGAGGTGTCTAGAGACGAAGTGGAAAAAATGCTAAAGGACTCCAAGCGATCAATGCCGCCTCCACCCCGGAGGACACCTGGCCCACAAAAGACCAATGAGCCAGTGCGAGCCCTAGGGCACCGCAAACTCTAACGAGAAGCCGGTCAAGAAGAGCAAGAAGACACGCTGGCTTCGAGAACACCGGCCACTGGCCAATGGTCCACCCCGACAGGAAGAACCCCGAGCCCTAGCACGACTCTTCCAAGAAGCACGAGAACAGCCACCCTGGAGAACCATCAAGTTCGACATAGGACAACAACTAGACGAGGCCGCCTGCAGAAACTGAGTGGCAGCAGAATCCGTAAGCAGCAATGGACAAAAAGCTGATGAAAACTTAAGAGCCAGGGCCTAAGTTGATTCTAAAGAGAGAGCGAGCATAGCCTAGTGGCACGCAAGGCAAGAAGCAAAGAACAGCGACACCGCCTCCCTGAGAATCGGTGCAAACAGCCACTCTACAAGCCATGAAGACTCTGGGACTTCATAACGCACCCAATAGGGAGAAGAAGAACCAAACTCAAACAAGGACGGATTCATCACAGAGACAAAATTTGGATCTTGCAGAAGGTAAGCCTCAATAGCCTTCCGAACCCTCTTAGGCGAGATTCAAGTGGCAGAAAGCCTCTGAAAAGAAGGAGCCAAGGAACCCAAGGGAACCTAGAACTGAACCCAGGGAGAAGCCAACCTCAAATCATACTCATACAGGGAAGGGAAGGGGGATAAGAAAACCCCTCCTCCTGCAACATCAAACTCAATGAAGAGGGCATGAAAACCCAAGTGGCATCAAAAGGGGCCCAAGCCCCCCAGGTCAACTCTCTCCCAGCCCTAAGAGCCTCCTAAACAGGCCCCGGGGCAGAGCCATCCTCCACGCCCTGTACCACTGAAGAAAAGGCAGCGAGAAGGGGGATCTGCTAGTAGGACCGAGAAGCCTCGACAGGAGGAGAAGGCTCAAATGCCTCCGTCTCCGACTCGAATAGGGCAGTCCCCGAAGCCGCCTGAGTTTCATCACCAACTAAACCCTGCCCCAACTCCGAAACCCTCAGATGTTTGGGAGCAGGGCAAACAATGCCAACTGGGAAAGGACTTGGAAGCGCGGACTGACTCAGAGTCGAAGTGACTAACACCCCCAAATCCGGGTCTTTATAACCAAAATGGGGCAGCCCTGGGGCATCTGAGCGGGCAACCAACCTAGTGCATTGCAGCAACCTAAACTGAGCATGCAACGCGGATGCCGCCTGTACCCTAACCTCAGTGACAATAGAATGGGTAAATTGGAGCACGAGCAGAGAACACATCTCGCAAGTCTCCGGGTCAAAGATGTCGTTTACCCAACAGGCAGCATGATGGAGGTAAAAGAGGTGACTGTCACCCTGAAACAAGGGCACAGAGCAACCTTCAAACTCGCATAAGGCGAGGTGGAACTCGGAAGATGCATCCATCAGTCAACCGAGCCCCGACGGGATTTTCTAGGGTTTGTAGGCTGTCTGCTATGGGAAGCCCAGGCAAGTTACTGCTAAGCCGGTTAACCCAAAAGCTAACAAAGGGGGGTTGAGCTAAAAAAACTGAACCCCTGCAATGTGTACAAGCACAGAGGCCTAGAGAGCCACCAACATATCTATATGGATTAATAGCCAAACAAGGCAGCCCCCTCCTGGCAAGAAAAACAAAAATATAAGAAAAACCCTGCAAAAGTACATCGTCACCAGAAGGAACAGGAACACAACTTCCACGTAAGCAGGTGAGATGCGCAGCACATTGTGCCCCTACCAGCAACAACACCACTTCCTAGCCAAGGCCAAGAAAACCCCAGCTGGATCCAAGGACGCGATAAATGCTGAGCAGCAAGAATTCCTACAGAAGTGGAGTCCCGAAGGCCCTATGGAAGGTAACCCTAGAACCAAATGGTAGTATTTATAGGGCACTTAGGGAAGACAGCCCTAAGCACATGCAGCCCCAGTATTCTAATTTCACCTGGCAACCCCACCACAAACAGCTCTATACACCAATAAGGCACAAATACTGCCAAGAAATCGATGCCAGAGTCGACGACTGCCCCAGAGCGCATCATCCTCCGAACTGGAGGTATGAGTAGCCGGCACTGGGTGTCCCTCCCTCCCCTCCCCCTCCCTCCCGGGAGGGCAGGACTGTGCGGACAAGTGGCATTGTATGTTGTTTGCTTGTTTCTTTGGGTTGGAGGAGTTCTGCCTCTGTGTTCGGTCTTCAGTTGCAATTTTCTTACAAAGTGGGGTCTGTTTTGTCATGCCTACCTTTCTGGGTGCCTAACCCTGGTTGATGGCAGACATGGAATGTTCCAAAACACATGGAGGTTTCCATAGGCCATTGCTTCCTGTGCCTCTCTGAGAGGGCCAGGTTCTGGCTCGTTGTCCCGATAGGCTGAATAGGCTCGTTGTCCCAATTTACTGATGCCCCAGACTAATTTTGTGAATATCAGTCTGATAGCTCCAGGGAGCCAGAGGGGCTCCCCACAGAAAGACCAAATGTGAAAAGCTGAGAAGAAGGTTGAACCAGTGAAATATGTCACCAAGCTGACCTTCTGATAGAGGCATAGGCACAAAAAATGCAGCAAGGCTAAGCTGGCCAAGGAGCCAGAAGGGCCAGTCTTCCCTGGGAGATCTCCAACCTGGCCAGGACCTGGAACAGCCAATACCAGTCCAGCCAAAAGGCATCTACTGCGAGAGTTTTGCAATTGGGGAATGAAGCACGGAGAAAGGTGCCGATTCCACTCTGATGCAAAGAGGTCTACCTCTAGGCACCCATATGTCTCGTAAAGCCAAAGAAAGCAGCATCGACGATCCACTCTGTAGAAACAAGAAGGAAATGGGACAGCTCATATGCTAGAGTGTTGGACACTACCTGCGTTTGAACAGAGCAGAAAGCCAATCCCCATGAGAGCTACTGAAAGACCAACTCCAAAGAGCAAAGGACTGAACTGAATCCTCTCCTCTTTATTTATTTCCCTTGCAAATAATAACTGCAGCAGTGGCAAAAGGGACTGAATTGGAGACACCAGAACAGCTGCCAAAGGCACACCTTACCCAGAGGAAATACTATGCACACAAAATTCAAGCTCCTGCACAACTGCTCAGGCAACTGTTAAGTCACCCATGGCTGACTGAACCCCAAGAGACAGTGATGCTGCAACCAGGTCAAGGCTCCCAAAGGCATGGAAAGCAATGCTTACTAAGATTCTCAAATGAGGTCCAGCCAAGTCTGGACCTCATTTGCTGGCTGGAATGAACTGAGACTTACGTCAGTTTACCAGGAACCTGAAGAGCTGAGAAAGAACCAGAAACCTGGCTAGCAGACTCATGGACTGGTTGGGAGCCTACACCAGCTAGTCGCTGAGATAGGCCAAAACCCGAACCCTCAACAAATGAAGATGAGCCACGACAACTTGAGCCAAGTTTGTTAACATGTGTAGAGGCAGACTGAGTCCAAACAGGAGAGCCTAAAAGCAGTAAGCCTACTGCCCCACCACAAAACCTAGCCAATCCCTGAACCTTAGATGTATAGGGACGTGCCAATACCTGTTGTGGAGGTCTAGGAAAATTATCCAAGCTTCTGCCTCCAGTATGAGATGGACCTGGGACAAGGTGGTCATCTGGAACGAGGGGCAGTGAATGAACTGGTTCAGCCTTGAGAGGCGTAGGATGAACCTCTTGAGTTCATATTGAAAAAAGCCAAATCCACACAACCAAATTGGTTAGAAAACACGCTTATTATTTAGCTTATACTACAGCATATTGGAATGCTACACAGCACTTAGCTTAGAAACACTAGGACCTGGCACAAAAGATGGTGACAGAAGTACTACTGTGATGCACTAGGAAACACACCAGAGACCTAACTCTCTGGCAAGTTTGGGTGGACCGAGCTTTGGAATGCCTTGTGGTTGTGATCGATACTAACAGGTCCGAGCTAGTTTCAAGAAAGTTATTTTGCTTTGTTTGAATAATTTGAAGAGTTCTTTGGTAGTTTTGAGGCTTTGAGTCTTGTGAACCCAGTAGATTTCTTTACAGCATCACTAACTTTCTGGATGTTTTCCTGGTGAAATGCTGGATTGTTATTTGTTCTTTAACTCTGTGAGGGGGAAAAGAGCACTAGGTTCTAGCTTTGGTCTCTGGTAGGCCAGACAGAACTCCTGTGATTGATGTGACCTCTAGTATGGAATATTTTCAGGGAGATAGCTACAGGAAGCCACAAAGGGGCTCCACCAGAAAAGAGCTAATTTCCTAAAACAGATTTCATGCAAATCCAGATTGAGTTGGAACATTGTAATCTAGATTTTTGAGATACATCCATATAACCCATCTCAAAGAAAACATCTCCTTCAGGAATGAGCACTCATGGAATGCTTTCCAATGAAGAATGAGCATTCACCAAGAAAAGAATGTTGTTGTATAACAAGTATTATACATATTATGTAGTGTACCTCATGAAGAATGAGCATACATCAAGGATAGCAGCCCTGAAAATAAAAAACATGCACACATCAAGGAGAGCAAACATTCACACACATTTTATAGCTCCCCCTTCTCCTTCTCTTGCCCCCCCCCCTCCTACCCCACACATACACATACAGAATACATAACACAGAGATTTATAAATACAGTAGTCTTTTTTGAAGACGAGCTAATATCGAGCAATGCATATTGAGTTACAATGAATACCATCTTCAAATTAAAAACAGCAACAAATTACTGTACACTTACTAGACTGTTGTCGGTGAAGGATTGATCTTTCAGTATCAATAATGTGTTTTTGTGCTATGGCAATCTTCTTTAGCCAATTATTACGCTCATGTGTTGTTGGTGCCGAAATGCTGACATCCCCACAACTAGGACTAATAAGAGTGTAGCACACCTCTGAATCTTTGTCTGCTTCTACTCTTAATTCTGTTAAGAACATAGGCTGAAAAGGTTGCATAGGAAATCAAAATGACAATCTCTACAAATTTGACAAAAGCTACTTACAAATTTTCTTGCCTTTGTTCAAAGTACTGTACTTAACAACTCAGAAACTGAAAGGATTTTAGTCTTACAACCAAGGCCTTAATGAACTTTTCATTCAGAACTGTTATTTACATATTTACAAGAAATATCTGTTATAAACATACTAAAGTACTGTACATTTAAGCTCTTCTAATGAATAATACAGTAAATATTACCAATTAGTGATATTTATACAAGTAGAGTGCAGATAATATATTAAAATGATTAGCAGTTGCTGCTAACTTCCTACCTTGCGGTACATTGTGCAAGAATTTGATATTAGTGCTCTTTCCAAAGCTGCAAGAGTGGTACATGAAGACACCGATTTGTTTGGTGTTGTCAGCAAGAGGAAGTCGCTTAGAAGAAATGCCACTAGTTCACGTTTACTCTTAGCCTGCAAATACAAATATTTTTGAACAAATTTGTTGCAGACCATACAATGACACTTTTTAAGTAAAATAATAATACTGTACTGTACATGTACACTCAAATATGAATTTATAATATTTTAACGTAAGTTTTCTATAAATTCATAGGAATAATTTATTCGTAAATTTTTAAAGTACAGTAGTAGGATGAACTGCTGAAATTACACAGTCCAAGGGTTAAAACACCACTGTTATCATCAATTCATTTAAAATTACTAAACCGTCTTCCGATTCTCTCATCAATCCACCACAATTCACAATTCACATATGTCACACCTAGTCCTGACAATTTTATTCCTTAACCCCCAAGCTGCTATGGGCTATTTGGCCTTTGTCACCCACAGGCGCATAAAAAAAATATTTTGTTTTCTCTTATAAACCTGTTAATTTGTGTTCCCTCATCACGGAAAAATAATGAATAAATCGCTTGTGGCATATTTTGGCCTCAATAGGGTGGGGAAGTTTGGCAAAAAACCAGCGATGAATGTAATGAAACATCATTTTCTGGGCGAGACCCAGAGGATCCCTGGATATGCTAATGTCAGGCTTTGGCATCAGTCATGTGTATGGAGTTCTATGGGCCTACCGGGGACCACGAGCCAGAACCTGGCCCCCTCAGAGAGGCAAGGGGAGTAGTAATTCGGCTTGTGGTAGCAATTTTTACCAAATAGGGGTTTGATTTGGGATGCTTACCTTTCTGGGTGCCTGACCCGGTCGATGGCAGACATAGAATGCTTCCAACCACACGGGGTTACTATAGGCCATTGCTTCCCCTTGCCTCTCTGAGGGGGCCAGGTTCTGGTCGTGGTTCCCGATAGGCCCAAAGAACTCCATACACATGACTGATGCCAAAGCCTGACATTAGCATATCAGCCTGGATAGCTCCGGGGAGCCGTAGGGGCTCCCCCCAGAAAATGCAGTCATCTCCTCCCGAAGAATAGGTCACCTCCTCCCAAACAATATGTCACCTCCTCCCAAAGAATAGAGATAGCCAAAGAACAGCCTGCCCTATACCATGAAATACAGTTTAAGAAGAACTGAAAATGACAACACAGTGGAGACCAAAATCCCAACAAAAGGAGCATTGCTGAGGAGCCTCAGTGTCCTCTGAGAGCCAGACCAAATGTAGCTCCAAAAGGCTCAAGAAGCCCATGACAGTGTTATGACCAAAGTTGGTCTTGGTTAATAAAACAAAGTACTGTATACTAAAAATAAACAAATGAATATTTGTAAGTTTGAGAGTGGTTGAAACCACATTTCTGCCAAGCACATGATGAATTTATACCATGTAAGCTCCTTGCTGCTTCTGAGAGAAGTATAGGAAATAGTTAATTACTAAACAGCCAGAAGGTTATATCATGAATGGAATATGATTGTAAAAGACTGGTGGTGGTGGTAATATAATTTTTAGAATAAACATTACTGTATAATATTTGGGCATTCATTGGCAGCGTGATGTGAATTTGAATTGTTGCTGAGCTGGGACGGATGGCAGATTATTGTGTGTACTGTGGGGTTGTAATTGCAGATAAGTCCTTGATTTTCTAAAATTACAGGCGATCACTCTTATTAATCTAATGCTGATTTATACTTGTAACTCTAAGCACACTCCACAGTGTTTGTATACAGCGGAAGTAAACTTGGAGAGGATCTTGGATATATTGTGGGTGTGAGAAACATGTTAAATTGTGCTTCCATCACAAGTTTTTGAGCCTGCCTTAGCCATTTGTAAGCTAGTATTCCTGCCCCACGGGGTATTGAGCATTAACATTCATGTCAATAAGCAGCGCCAGGGGGAATTTTGTTATGGGGCAGTAATGTGAAAAATAAATATTAAGATAACACTTGGTTCATGCCCAGTGTGAGGTGGGATCCACATATCTCTAGACATTCAATTTGGGAGCAAATTTAATGGGGCATGGGTAGTGAGTCACCTTGCCTGGAGGGCTTACTTTATTATATGTTTCAGCTTTGCACAGCAGCCCATGAGCAAAGAAGAGTAGAAAGTTTACTGTAATAAACTACCACCACATTATAACCTATTTTAGTCACAAGTAACAGACAGCACCCAGGTGCAAACAAATGCAAAGGTCTTCCACCACCAGCGTAGCCGACAACTGAGGAACCTGAACATGAAGCTGCAATAATCCAACATCCCTCGGGAGAGCAGAAGCAAACAGGCAGACATTGAAAAGCACAAAGAAAGCGCCTGCCAGACACACCTGTAACACTGAAGAAACCTCATGCCATTCAAGTGAGTATGACCAACAGAAATCGTGCCAAGCCTTAGGAAGGAATGTCTGCAAGTCAGGACAACTCCGGAACCTCATAATACATCCAACATTGGGAAGAAGAAGAATCAAACTCAAACGAGGCCAGATCCATGACCCATTCAGGTCGTGCAGAAGGTAAGCACAGAAAGCTTGTGTTTGCTTAAATTAGAGTGACAAATAATAACATTTCATTGAACTATTAGCCACTTTCACATTTCAACATTTGTTAAAATACCTTATGCAATACACCGGTATGAAGAAGTTTCCTGGGCCCAAGGGTATTGGTGAGCGAGTTGAAAACCAAACGTTCATGTAAGCCTTCACAGATAACTTGCCTTTGCATCCATTCCAGTTTATCAGTATTGTCCCTCTGACTCACTGCCTCATTAACCTATAAAATATTAAAACCAATATATTGATGTATATTGTATTAATTTCAGAACAACTACACTAATAAGACTGATATAAATAGAACAAATTTCAATTATAATATTACTTCCTAAAATTTAGTAAGACATTGTATACATTATTTGATTACAGCAATATATATTTGGAGAGCACTGATCAGTGTCTCTTCATCCCTTAAACTACACAGAAATGCAATATAAAAAATTAATCAGCGGGGTGGGGCTTAAAGTCCCACATATACATATGAGATTGTATAATTTATATATATTATATAACGAATTTAATCCGTTCCGGTGCCGTGATCGTCACGTGACACGGACGTCATACAAAACTAATGTCCCCACTGACAATAATGGAAATCAAATTAATCCGTTCTACCATTGAAAAACATCAATATGATATTCAATGTTTTATATAAAGGAGCAGCCTACCTTACATACACTGAACAAACCTTTATGACATTTTTCTTTCTTCAAATTTGTTCAATTTTTTTTTCATTTTTTGTATAGCAAAAGTTTTGTTCAGTGTTTGTCAGGTAGGCTGCTCCATGTTTCTTATAAAAAAAAATAAAAAAAAAAAAAAAAAAAAATTAAGAATTTTGAAAAACAGAACAACTGTCAAAAAGGTTTGATACACAGGATCTTCCAGATCAAAAACCATACTGTCTGTCTGATATTATATCATTTCTCTCCAGGTGTTCTACCCATTTAGTTTTGATTAGTTTTCCAATACTTTCACTATTACACTTGTCAATGATACAGGTCTATAATTGAGGGGGTCTTCCCTGCTGCCACTTTTGTAGATTGAAACTATGTTAGCCTTTTTCCACACGTCTGATACGACTCCTGTACACAGGTATGCCTGAAAGATCAGGTGAAGTGGCATGCTGAGCTCAGATGTGTGTGTGTGTAACATAAGAAGCACTAAAACCACTCAGTAAACAACATTATTAATCCTTAAATTACAAGTTTAAGAAAATTGTTAAGCATTATAAGCAAAATATATGGGTTCTTACTCCTTGCAAAGCCATTAGACTCTTCAGTTGCTGATAAAATCCAAGTAAAATACGGGTAAGAAATTTAAACTACAGTACAGTCTGCTGTACTTACTTGTGCACAGAGAGTTTCAGAAGCCGTTAATGCTTCTTGAGTATTAAAGTTGTCAGGATGTCCTTCAGGAGTATATTTTAATAACTGAAAAGTAATAACAAACTTTATTCTAAACACACAATAAATAAATGAATAAATAAATAAATAAATATGTATATGTGATATGTAAGTGTGGTTCCAAGATGAGAGCTATTCTTGTGGTGTACCATATTCCTTATTATTGTTATCATATTTCACTTTGAAACTACAATGTACTGATGATTTTGACATCTACCACCTACTCACTTTCAATTATGTATAACCCTAATAAAAAAAAAAGTTTCATATATTTTCTGGGGGGAGCCCCGTCGGCTCCCCGGAGCTATACCAGACTGATATGCTAATGTCAGACTTTGGCATCAGTCACGTGTATGGAGTTCTTAGGGGCCTACCGGGGACCACGGCCAGAACCTAGCCCCCTCAGAGAGGCAAGGGGAGCAATGGCCTACAGAAACCCCCATGTGGTTGGAAGCATTCTATGTCTGCCATCAACCAGGTCAAACGTCCAGAAAGGCAAGCATCCCAAAACAAATACCTATTCTGGTAAAAATTGCTACCAAAAGCCGAACTAGTGAATAGAACTCCCCAACAGAAAACAAGTAAACAAGTATGATGTCACACATCACCGCACCACCGTCTGCGCAGCTCCCGCCTCCCAGGGAGGGGGAAGGGGGAAGCCCCAGACTTCTCACGCTGGCTATCCATCCATCAGTTCTTCGGCTGATGCTAAAGGCACCGGTTGTGTGCTCCGGCTCTAGTGGTTGTTTCAGCAATGTGCCTAGAGTGTGGTGTCTGTCTTTTAAGCGGTGCTGGTGGAGACGCTTCGGCTTGCTTTTGGTCTTGGGGTTACATCTGTGGCATTCGTAAGCTGTCTCGTGCATTGTTTCACCTCCGGCCTGTTCTTGCGCCGCTTAGGCCGTCCTGGTCTCTGGACAGCGTGCTCTTTCTTCTCCTCAGTTGGTGGTGGCCCCTTCGGTTCGGGTTTGTTTTGACGGCTCTTTTCCTGTTGGCATTTGCCTCTAGGGCTCGGGTTGCTGAGCTTCTTGCTCTCCTTCGGTCATGGCGTTTGGTTTATTTGGTTGCAGCCATCTCCCTCTTTTCTGTCACGGGGTGAGGCTGCTGCGTTCCGGGAGAGTCCTTGGTTTGTTGATGCTTGGTTGGTCGGGCCAGGGGTGCGTTATGTTTTGTGTTCAGTTGCAGCCCTCCGCTGTTATTTGCGCGCCACGGTTTCTGTGTCCTGGGCGCAATTTGGGTTGATCCGGTTCCGTTCTTCCCTGTTATTGCGGCTAGCCAGCCTGTGTTCTTTGCCCGTGCCTGTGGCATTCATGAATTCACTGCTCTTGCTGCCATCTTTGCAGCGTGTCCTTGCTGACTTCGGGCACGGGGCTTTTTGGAGGTTGTACAGGGGCCTGGCTGCTCATTGTTTCGTGTCGTTCTCAGGCCCGTTCAGGCCTGTGTCACCTTGAGTTGGTGGTTGCAGCCAGTTGTCTCACTTTCCACTGAGGGGTGTGTGGTGTTTGCCTCCCCGATCCGTCCCTTTGACCTTCCTCTGTGGGTAGTTAGCTCTGGGGAGCCAATGGGGCTCCCCCCAGAAAACCAGCATTGAATGTAATGAAACGCCATTTTCTTGGTGTGACCCGGAGGCTCCCTGGCAACTCTCCCTCCCTCCGGTCGGCGTTTTTTTGCGTGTTTTGATATCCAGCCTCAGAACTGATGGGTGGATAGCAGCCGGCGTGAGAGATCTAGGGGGGCTCCCAGACAGACAGTGCTACGCAGACAGCGGCATGGTGACGTGTGACATCATACTTGTTTGCTTGTTTTCTATTGGGGAGTTCTACCCACTAGTTCGGCTTTTGGCAGCAATTTTCACCAGAATAGGGGTTTGTTTTGGGATGCTTACCTTTCTGGATATTTGACCCGGTCGATGGCAGACATAGAATGCTTCCAACCACACAGAGTTTCTATAGGCCATTGCTCCCCTTGCCTCTCTGAGGGGCCCAGGTTCTGGCCGTGGTCCCCGGTAGGCCCTACGAACTCCATACACATGACTGATGCCAAAGTCTGAAATTAGCATATCAGCCTGGTATAGCTCCGGGGAGCCTCTGGGTCACACCCAGAAAATGGCGTTTCATTACATTCAACACTGGTTTTTTAGCAGCTTTGTTTTCCTTACTAGACTCTATGGCCTCTGGCTGTTGAAGTTACAGGTTTACAAAATTCCTCTTTGTCAATGTTGTTGATTCTTATCATAATTTTGTATGTGGTGGTCATATTGCCTCTTTTCTCTCTACTAGCTTTGGCTAGTAGAAGGAAGGCATTAAATATAATGCCTTTAGTCTCTCCTCACAGCTGTGTTTTAGGGCCACAAGTCACTTATTAGCATGTCTTTGCATCTTTTCTAATTTATTCAAGAAGATACACACACAAAATATGTGTTGACAAGAGTGGCCACAGTGATATCAGCAGAAAGGTAAAGTAACAATTTTAGAAATGTACTTGCATGATCTAAATAAAAAACAAACTTATGCTCAGCATAGTTTAAGTGCTACAAGCATTAACCTAGTAATTTGTGGTGCAAAATTGCAACAGTATTAGTGCATGGATTGCTAATGGAAAACATACATTTCATGGCTGGGTCTTTGACTAACTTCATAATATAAACAGATTTCATGGCTAGGACTTTGACCAACTTTATAATATAAATAGTCACATAAAAAAACCAGTGTTGAATGTAATGAAACACCATTTTCTGGGTGAGGCCCGGAGGATCCCCAGAGCTAACTGGGCTGATATGAATGTATCAGACCCTGGCATCAGTCAATGCACATGGAGTTCTAGGCCTACCAGGGACCACAAGCCAGAACCTGGGCCCCCAGAGAGACACAAGGAGCAATGGCCTATAGAAACCCCGTGTGGTTGGAAGCATTCTGTTTGCCATCGACCGGATCAGGCACCCAGAAAGGTAAGCGCCCCAAAACAAACCCTTACTCTGGTTAAAACATTGCTACTGAAAGCTGAACTAGTGGACAAAACTCCCTAAATGAAAACAAGCAATCGAGCTTGATGTCACCACATTGCCATGCCGCTGTCTACGCACCCCTCCCCCTTCCCAGGAGGGGGAAGGGGGAAGCCCCAGACGCCCTACATCAGCTATCCACCCTGCAGTTCTGAGGCTGGATGAGGCCAGGACCCTGTTCAACCTCCAAAAATCCCGTGCCCAAATGTCAGCCCAAGACAAATTACCGAAGTTGGCAGCCAGCGCAGCAAACTTACGAACGTCATGGGCACGAGAATAGACCGCAGGAGCAAATACCACTGCGAACGACCTGGGAGAAATGAAACCTGGAACAGGGATGAAGGGAAACCGGATCAACCCAAAGCGTATCACCGGCCACTGAAGCCGTGGCGTATAGGTAATAGCGGTGAGCCGCAATTGGACACAACACATGATGCACCCCTGGCCTGACCAACCAAGCATCAACAACCAATGGACCTCTCCAGAAAGCAGTAGTCTCATTCTTTGCCAGAAAAGGAGACGGCTGCAAACGAACAATCCTACCACCAGGACAAAAAGAGCAGAAATCCCAGTGCCGGATGAGAGTATGAAGCTCCATGACCAGACCCTCAGAGGCCAACACTAACAGAAAAAGAGCCCCCAAACATGAACGGCCAGGAGAGTCAAACCCAGAGAACTCAGCAGACGAGTCACCGGAAGTGACGAACCCAAAAGAGCCAAGAACCGCATCGAACCCCTCGGTTCAGGCAATGAACCACCGGGAAGCAGTCCAAATGGAGCCGGATCGTCTATCCATGAGCAACCTGAACCCTCCAAAGTGACATCCACACCGCCGCAAACTCCCGCACCATGCTGTGGGCCCGACAAAGGGACGGACACCACTGCCTCTGGTCGGCCTGGTGAGCACTGGTCACAAAGCCCCAGCCAAGAGACGACGTGTCCGTGAACACATCGAGTGAGGGCTCAGGTAGGCGCCAAGGCACTGAACCCTGAAAAACCCGAAGAGGAAGCTGGTGACGCAGCAGCCAATGCAAGGCACCTGGAGGTCGAACTCAGTGATCACGAGAGCGGCGGAAGGGACGTCACCGAAAGGACAAGAACAGCTGACAAAGCCAAACCCGACCAGGCAGGTAGAGCATCACGGCAAAGTTCAGGCTCATGCAAAGACCCGGGAGCCCCTCCAGAAACAGGCAAAGGCGGAACTACAGCTGAAGTAGAGACTTCGGAGGGAGAGACAAGGAAGCGGTCCGAGAGTCCCACACAAAACCCAGCCTAGGCCAAACCTGAGAGGGAAGCAGATGGGACATCCTCCAGTTCAAGAAGAACCTGAACCCAGTGAGCTGGGATCCCTAGCGAGCAAACACGAGGACCGGCTGGGAGCCCAAACCAGCCAGTCATCGAGGTAGGCCAGAACCTGAATACCTAAGAGAAGCATTTAAGCCACCATGACCTGGGTAAGGTGTGTGAAAACGTGAGGTGTCAGATTCAAGTCGAATGAAAGGCAATGAAAGTGGCAACCCTGACGCCCCACAACAAAACCGAGCCAGTCCCTGAACCCCGGATGAATCTGGATGTGCCAATACTCGTCCCGGAGGTCCAGGAACACCATCCAAGTGCCCAGCTCCAAGAGCAGACGGACCTGAGACAGAGTAGTCATCCAAAAGGAGGGGCAATAAGCCCACGGGTTGAGACGGGACATGTCCAGAATGAACCTGAGGTCCATGCAGTTCTGTTTCGAAACTGGAAACACCCACCGGAGGGACAAGGTCGTTTCAACCACGCCCAAGCAAACCCACTCCGAGATGACCCAATAGAGTGCAGAAGAGTTGGTGGTGCCTGCCCCACCAACCCTGAACCCCCTGAAGGAGGAGGGGCTACCCAACGCCATCGTAGGCCACATGAAATGACCTGAAAGGCCCACAAATCATGGGACCAGGCATGAGCAAACATCGTGAGCCTCCCCACCATCTCCCTGTCAATGGGACAAACCACAAAAGGGTCGAAGCGTGATTTCATTGATTGAAATCGAGTGTTCTTGTTTGTGTGACAGAATCATTAATGTAATTAATTAACTGTTTTGACTTGATTACCATCCAAGGGACGTGTATTAACGTAATTAATTTGAGTTACTGGAGATTGTCTTAGTAACAAGCCTTGCTTAATTTTGATTGTTTTAATTGTTTTGATTAATTGTTTTGCTACTGCAAGGGTTGATTGCAATTGAGTCTAAGTACAGTATACACCAATGTTCAGTTAGTTCATTGTTGTTGTTCTGGCCCTAGCAAGAGGGACCGAGATGTGTTCTCGTGATTTTACCAGCCGAGAGTGGTGGGATTAATTCCTGCTTCACTGGTAATTGATTAGCTGTCAAGAGCCCCTCAGGACATTAATGTAATGTAAAAGTTGTTGCCGTGGATTAGTCAGTAAGTTTTGTTGAATAAATTTGTTGTTGATGTATTAAAGTGTCTTTATGTCGCACCTTCAAAGAGTACTGCCCCTATGATTGACCTGCTACAAGCTACACCATTACAGTATCTTGTAATTTTGACTGGTGTTGGCTTTTGGGATCGAACCTAATCATAGCCCAAACACTAAATACTAAAATTTGGTGTGAGAACCCATTGGCTAACCTGAAGATTGCTACAAGCAATTGAGGAGCTAACAACCTAGTGATTGGAGGATCACGTAATTAGACTCCGGCATTTGCTCTCACCTATACAGTACCTCAACTGAGGAATAATCTCACATCTGGCATCCACTCGTGGGGGGCATGTGGGTATTGTGCAGTTCTCAGAGGTATACTCTCACAATGAGTCATACTAACATGGCTGAAGATATGATAACCAAACCACATATCAAAAGATGAAGAAACAATGACATTTAGACCTTTCCTGGACCATTATCAAGTCATGTGTTGATAATGGATCATTATCAACATATGACTAGATAATGTTCCAGGATGGATCGAAACATCGTCATTTCTTCATCTTTTGATGTGTGGTTTGGCCATCAATTGTTGTTTTTAAAGACACCTACCAATAATAAAACTAGTGATTGTTCATAAATAATCACTGGCATTCAAAATGAGCACCACCAACAAAGAGTTGGAATATTTATAAAATTATTCTCAACCGATTTATTAACTCACAAAATATCCTATGTATTACAACGCATCATGCCAATCCCAACCACAATTATTTTACTTGCTCATAATGATATTTTATTATGGAGACACTTTCTTAATAGTACAGTAGTTTAAAGTAGTATTAAAATTAAATTGCACCAAAATTAATTAAAATAAATAATAATAAAGAGCAATGTGAGATGCTGATTGGGTATCAAAACTGCAACCAACATACAGTGTTCATATACAGTACAGAAGAAACAAAGTACTGTATTTAACAACTGTAGTGTACAGCATGTATAAAAATATAAAAATTATGTAATTACTAAATAGGAAACCTAGATATATGTACAGTATACATGCCTGAATGACTGAAAATATTACATCATTACTTTTCTGTAATTACTTATTCCAAATATAATTCTAAAGTACTGTTTATCACAACTGCTTCAATCACACCTGTTTTATTAATAAAGGATATTTTGTTATTCTCTGCATTGGCTTCAGAAGAAAAGAAGTAAGAGTCAAGCCCTGGACAGCTGGATGCTCCTGGCACTGCTTCACAAGGTCTGCCCATGGCCCTCCAGCAGCACATCTAAAATTACAGAAGATTAAATGCCTTTTAATACCTATATTTTAATAATCTTGTTACTGTCATACATCATGTTTAACATTTTCAGCAAGAACAATGGAGTAAGGAACAAACCCACTTGTAGTCCTGAATGTGTCACATTTCCTGAATACATCACATTTTCATATATAATTTCCCCAAGACCAAAAAATTATATAACAAAAATGTGGCTCACGAAAATTGACGTGATGTCCTGTTTTTTGTTTGTGGGTCAGCGGGTAGGTTAGGTTTGGACAATTGAGTACAACAGTTTAGTGATGTTTGGAATGCTCAGGAGAATGATCTGAGCAAATAGCCAAGAAAGGTCTTTCTCTGGACATACAACATTTTCATGGTTAGCCCCCATTTAACTCAACAGATTGGTCCTGGGTTCATCTTGAGTATGGCACGATGTTTATGCATATATATATATATATATACAGTATATTTTTACATTTAATGCCTTTCAAAGACTCTCTCAGAGATGCCACCTTCAGTGAGCATCAGAATGTGCCCCAGTTTCTTCAAAACCTTCAACACATTCTAGAGAGAGTCCACCGCTTTGCCCATGATAATCTATTGAAAGCCCAGGTGAGAATGAAGACTCATTACGACCAGACCAGCAAAGTAAGAAAATTCAAGCCGGGAGACTTCGTCCTTGCTTATTTCCTATCCCAGGTTCACCTTTACAGAACAGATTTTCAGGACCCTACTGCGTCAAAGAGTGCAGGAATAATAATAATTATGTGATAGAGACTCCAGATAGGCGGCGGAAGACCCAGCTGTGCCACGTCAACCTCCTGAAGCAATATAATGGTACTCCTCCCACTGTCTTGATTAATTGTTCTACCTTCACAGAACCCTACATCCACAGTGAGACCATCCGGCTTCTTCTCCCGAAAGCACTGACAGGGAGTCGGCGCTTTCTAATTCCAAAATCCTTAATGATCTTCCCAAATGCTTTCAGGATAATAATCGTGCTCCTATGCCCTCTTCTAATTCCTCACCCACTCTCACCTCGTCAGATAAGCCCTACATCCTCCATGTCGACGCCAACAGTTTAGTGATGTTTGGAATGCTCAGGAGAATGATCTGAGCAAATAGCCAAGAAAGGTATTTCTCTGGACATACAACATTTTCATGGTTAGCCCCCATTTAACTCAACAGATTGGTCCTGGGTTCATCTTGAGTATGGCACGATGTTTATGCATATATATATATATATATACAGTATATTTTTACATTTAATGCATATTTGTTTGTGCATTTTATTCAGTTCACCTATTACAGTAAATAGGTACTGAGGAGTTAGAAGGCTGTTGTGGGTTGCATCCTAGAACATACGGAAGGGACCTTGTAATGTGTTAATGTTTAAATATTTGTTGTGCTGTAAGGTGAACTTTTGAAACTCCCGCCAAGGCAGCAGATACTATTTACGAGGCGTGAATTGTTACCCTCTAAAAGTAAGTAAACAGTGTCCCAATGCTTATAAAATCACTCCCAAGTACATGCTGTGATTGGAAAACATGATGAAAATGTGTGTTAAATGTAGAAAGCCAGTGCTTAACTCAGTAATAAATGAGAAGTAAGAAAACTTGAAGAGGAAAAAACATGTTTTTACTATGATACAATACTGTGCATCTAGTGATGAACAATATTTACTTTTTTTATAGTAAGGCTATAAAAAGGCTTCTCTAACTAGATGATAAGCATGTTCAACTTGTTAAGGAAGGTTTTCCCAGAGAACAAGACACCAAATATATAGCATGAAGGTAAACATACAAACCCTAAGTTTGTTATTTTTTTTTACTATAGTCACAATGTAGTACACTCTTTCTTCTTTTCCACATTGCTCTCTTTTCTATTCAGTATTTTAGTTCATTATTTTTCAAAAACTCGTGTATGTTGTATCCTGGAGAATTGTTTACTTAGCAGTATTTAAGTCATGGGAATTAGGCAAGTATTGTGGGATGCATCCTAACAAAGGTCAATCACTTGCCTAGGAAAAGTCTTGATAAGCCTAACACGCTTCTTGTACTTGACAATGGAAAACTAATTATAAATAAATCAACATATTATACAAATCATTTCGGTTAATTTAAAAAAAAAAATTCTGTACTGTACTAACTTTTCGCCTAGTAAAGTTGCCCCAAGAATTTGTATGCTGCAGAACCTCAGGTATGGTGTTAACTGACTTATCTGCAAGATTAAATCATTATTACACTTCAGTACATTAAGCCACATGTAGTTAAAGGTATATCATGCTTTTCTACCAAATACTACAACCTCAACTTTTAATAAATACATATCCTATTTGAACATTTATACATTCAATTAATAGTATTACCCTTTCTCTCCAGATCCTTCTTACTAATTAATATATGATTAGCAAATTAATACATTAAAAACCTTACCTGCTGACACAAAACATCAGCAATCATAGTAACGCCCCCTCTGCTGTTCATGCAACGAACTTTTAGCGCTCTGGAACACAAAACATATTCACTGAAGTTATGACATACCTTTTAAATGTGCACTAACTGATATAAAAAGTGGAAAAACAAATAATTATTGGCTTTCTGTTTTAAATTTTAATGATAATATCTCCATAAGCAAGAAAGGTGCATACAATCTGAGGCATTAACCTCAGGATAACAATAGTCATTAACCTTAGAATATTGACTACAGAATCAACTTCAATTTGCACAAGTGCAGCATATACAACTTTTGTCTACATTTAGTTTTAAATATTTGTAATACTGTTCAACTGAGTAAACATTTTCTCTAAGCAACCCTAGCCTAATCTAACCTAGGAAAAGACCCTATATTATGTTAGGTTCCTAACTAGGAGATGAGCTCCTTCAGTTACTGTATTTTTGTTTTGTTTTATTAACAAGTGTAGGTATACCGAGCATTATGCTGTTACCCAATTTGACATAAGGGATTACAAAGTGTAGGTTAAGAGCTAGAAGTTCATATAATATTCCCATTTCACAGGATGGTTAGTCATACATGGAATCAAAACAAAACATGAGATGAGAGTCTAGTCTACCAGCCTGCATTAGCAGGCTTTGGGTACAGCATGATATCATCTTCCAATATCTGTGAGTGTATGAAATAATTACAAAACTCAAAGTATATCATGCCATTTGGTCTAAAATCATTGATAACAGAGCATTCACAAATATAGTGTTGAAGAGAGTAATTACATAATGAGATCTACACTTCAGGTAATTACCTAAGTAATTATCAAGTGTAGTTGCAGGTTGAGAGCTACGATTGTGATGTCCCGTCTTCCCAGTACTCTTTGCTGTATAACGCTTTGAAACTACTGACGGTTTTGGCCTCCACCACCTTCTTACTTAGTCTGTTCCAACTGTCTACCACTCTCTTTACAAGAAAATTGTCTAGTTTTTTTTTAACACCTCTGTTTTCTTAGCTTGAATCAGTGTCCTCTTGTTTGTGAAGTTCTTAGTTTCAAGAATTCCTCCTTGTCAATTTGGTCTATTCCTGTTAGTGTTTTGTAAGATGTGATCATATCACCTTTCTCTTTCTTTTATCTTCTAGTTTTGGCATGTTTAATGCCTCTAGTCTCTCCTCGTAACTCTTGTTTTTCTGGAAGCCATTTTTGTTCTGGAAGCCATTTTGTAACATGCCATTGCACCTTTTTCAGTTTATTTATATGCTTTGGGCACCATACAAGATTTGAGATTTGGGCACCATACAACTGTTGCATATTCCAATTTTGGTCTCACAAAAGTCATGAACAGTTTCTTTAGTATTTCACCATCCATATAATTAAAAGCAAGTCTGAAGTTGGAAAGCAACGCATATGCGCCTCTCACAATGTCATTTGTGTTATTCTGGCGATAGTTTACTATCCAAAACCACCCCTAAGTCTCGTTCTTTATTAGAATTCTGTAAGTACTTTCCACATAATTTGTAAGTTGTGGGCGGTCTATTTTCTCTGATTCCACATGCCATAACATGGCATTTATTCACATTGAATTCCATTTGCCACTTGACACTCCAAGCACTTATTTTCTCTAGATCAATTTGAAGAGCATTGCAATTGTCTGCATCTCCTATCTTCCCAGTATCTTAGCATCATCCGCAAACATGTTCATATAATTCAGTATTCATTCTGGTAGATCGTTTATGTAAACAATGAACATTACTGGTGCAAGAACTGAACCCCTGTGGTTCTCCGCTAGTAACACTACTCCAGTCAGATACATTGTCTCTGATTACTGCCCTCATCTGTCTGTCAGTTAGAAAATTTTTCATCCATGTCAGAAGTCTCCCTATCACCCCTCCAGCATGCTCGAGTTTATACAACAGCCTCTTGTGTGGGACTCTATCAAAAGCATATTTTAGGTCCAGATAGACACAGTCAACCCAACCACCTTTTTCCTGTAGTATCTCTGTGGCTCTATCATAAAAGATTTGTGACACAGGATCTTCCTGTTCGAAAACCATACTGTCTGTCAATTATTACGTCATTACCCGATTTTCCTGAGGGCCACTAACCCTAGTGGCCTTGACAAGGACAGGAAGCCGGTGGGTTGTTGAAGGTCCCCTATTTGTTTTGATGATCTTTTTCAGGTATATGTTGAAATTGAGCACAGTTTTGGCAGTTACGGCTTAGGTGGGTAGGCAGTTCCATGGGTTAACAATCCTGTGGGTAAAAAGCATCTTTTCTCAGTCCTACTTTGTGGCTTGTTGAGCTTGAAACCGTTGCTCCTTGTTTGTGTTACATCTGACCTAAAGAAAATATCCTGATCAACATCCTTTAACTTGTTCAATATTTTAAAAGTTTCAATGAGATCTGCCCTGTAATGCCTGGTTTGCAGTGTTGTTAGCCCTGTGGCCTTCAAGAGTTTCTGATATGAGAGATGACTTAGCTCTGGAATGACTTTTGTTGCCCGGTGTTGCACCTTCTCCAGGGCAGCTATGTCCTTCTGAAAATGAGGTCTCCATGCTTGGATACAGTAATCTAAGTGAGATTAAGCACCTGAGATCTATACAGTTGAATCATTGCCCTCTTTTCCATATAGTCAAAAGTACGCTTAATTATCCCAAGAGTTTGGTTAACTTTTCTGACTGCTGTACCCACCTGTTGTGCGACTTTAAATGAGTGGTGGATCTTGACTCCAAGGTCCCTTTCTTCATCAATCTGCTGTAATATAATGCTATTAATTTGGTAGTCATCGCATGGGGTTGTTATGCCCCACATGCAGGGTCTTTCATTTGTTGATATTTAAAAGCATGTGCCAGTCTTTTGACCATTTGTGGAGTTCATGTAGATCTCTTTGTAAGGCTTCAGTATCATTATCATTTCCCACTTTACCATATATCTTTGTGTCATCTGCAAATTTGATGACGTGGTTTGTAATACTGTATTCTCATTTATGTCATTGATGTACAGTATATGACAAAAAGGGTTGACCCCAAAATGTACCCTTGCGGTACCCCTTATACCACATTTTTTAATTCAGATTCATTTTCATTTAGCACAACCCTTTGATTTCTTTGCTTCAACCATTGTTTTATTCAATCTAATATTTTACCATTTATTCCATGGGCCTGTAATTTCCTTGCCAGTCTTTCATGTAGTACCTTATCAAAGGCTTTAGCAAAATCCATGTACCTGTATACTACATCCACCAGAAGGCCTTTGTCTGAGAAGCTGGTTATCTTTTCCAAAAATGTAAGCAAATTTTTAAGGCAAGATCTGTTTTTAACAAATCCATGTTGTGTCGATTGTACAAGGTTGTTCACTGAAAAATGGTGAATGATTCCCTCCCTGAGGATTCTCTCCATGAGCTTGCAGATGTGTGATGTCAAGCTGATCGGCTGGTAGTTTTCTGCTGAGCTCTTTCTGCCTTTTCTGTGGGGAGCTCTTTCTGTCTTTTCTGTGGGGGAGCCCCTTCAGCTCCCTGGAGCTATTGAACTGATTTATGATATATTAGTTTGAGGCATCAGTCAATTGGAGTTTAGCCTAATGGGGACCACGAGCCAGGACCTGGGCCCCCCTCACAGAAGCACAGGGAGCAATGGCCTACGGAAACCCCCATGTAGTTGGGAGCATTCCATGTCTGCCATTGACCGGGGTTAGGCACACAGAAAAGCAGGCATAACAAAGCAGAACCCACTTGGTAAGAAATTCCAACCGAAGACCGAACAGAGAGGTAGAACGCCCCCAAATTCTAAAGAAACAAGCAAACAGGCAAACGTCATACTCTGCCACCACGCCACTCGTCCGCGCAGCCCTCCCTTTCCTGGACCCCCGTGCCGGCTACTCTCACCTCTAGTTCGTTGGCTGATGCGATCTGGGCCGGATGTCAACTCTGGCATCGATTTCTTGGAAGTCTTTATGCCTTTGTGGTGTTTTCTGCTACTTGTGATGCAGTGGCCAGGTGTAACTACAGTGTACTGGGCTGCATGCACTTAGGGCTATCTTCCCTAGGTGCCCAATAAGTAATACCTTTGGGTTCCAGGTTTACATTCCATAGAGCCTTTGGGATTCCACTTCTGAAGGGGTTCTTGCTGCTCGGTGTTTACCATGCCCTTGGGGCCAGCTGGGGTTTCGTGGCCTTTGTTTGGCCTTGGGTAGGAAGTGGTATTGTTGCTGGTTGGGGCGCAAGGTGCTGTGCTACCTATGTGGCAGCTATGTTCCTGTTCCTTCTGGTGGCATTTTGCAGGGCTTTTCTTTTATCTTGTTTTTCTTTGCCAGGAGGGGGTCTGCCTTGTTTGGCTATTAGTCCACATAGGGTATACTGGTGGCCCTCCTCTAGGCCCCAATGCTTGTACATGTCACAGGGGTCCAGTTTTAGCTCATTTTCCTTGTTAGCTTTTGGATTTAACCAGCTAGCATTACCTTGCCTGGGCTACCCATAGACGACATCCAAACGGGCCCTGAAAACCCTCCGTTGGGGCTCAGTTGACCGATGGATGTGCCCTCTGAGTTCCACCTCGCCTTGTGCGAGTTTGAAGATTGTTCTGTGCCCTTGTCTCAGGGTAACAGTCACCAGTTTTGCCTTTGTCATGCTGCCTTTTGGGTCAACGACACCTTTGACCCGGAGTCTTGCGAGACGTGTTCTCTGCTCGTTCTCCATTTTACCTATTCTGTTGTCACTGAGGTAAGGGTATAGGTGGCATCTGCATTGCATGCTAGGTTTATGTTGTTGCAATACGCTAGGTTGATTTGAGCTCACTAAATCTCTTTTCCAATTTATTTATCTATATTTTATTTTATTTATATATAGAAGAATTCTTACATTCTTGTAAAGCCACTAGCACAAATAGTATTTCGGGCAGGTCTTTAATTCTAACTTTTCCTGGAATATGACCCGCAAAATCATTCAACAACCAGGTACCCATTTACTGCTGGGTGAACAGAGGCTGCAGTTAAGGACTGGCACCCAATCAGTCCTCCACGGCCAGGATACAAACCCATGCCAAAGTGCTCATGAAGTGCCAGG